TAACAGTTGTTTTGAAGGGTCATCTGTATACTCTATATACCATGCCATGTGTTGTTTTAACTAAATGTGGGAATACTTGGTCAAAATTAGTTCTCCTACATATGCAGCGTATTTCAAATATCAATAATACAAGGCGTTTAAATACTAATTATATCCGTACAAATATGCAATATTCCATAATGAACAAGTATGGTAAAATGTGTCAAGCACGTTTATGGAAAGATAATGACGTGAATAGTAGAAGTAAGCTCCGCAGCTTGAGACCCTGTAAAGAGTTTTGTACTGTGAACTGTTTCTGAACTGTGACTATAAACTTTAACTCACTGTAAAGATTTTTAATTTTCTGAAAGTAGTCAGGACTTTTATGATCCGTGGTTACCATTCTGCTTTTGTAAAATTTAATTGTGGTATTGCACGTTTAAGACCAGAAGCGTACAGATATATTAATCTAAATGTTGAGGATAGACTTTGCTTTAACTGTAATAAATTAATTGACAACGAAGAGATTGATGATGATTTTTATGGAGAAGCATGTGCAATGTGAATAAACCCCTAAAATTTACGTACAAAGTAAGTGCCCCCCCCTATGTCATGTACAAAATTGATGACCCCCCTAGAAACATGTGTACAAAATTGATGACCCCCCCTACCTCCCCAGAACAAAATGGGTGACCCCCCTTAAAATCATCATCAATCCCCCTGGCCATAAATTATGAACGGTCCCTTATCGTTTGTCAGAGCTCGCCGTTTGACAGAGCACGCTGCACGACGTGCTTGCAAGGATTAGAAGGAGCGTAGTGTTGCAATATACAAGTGCTTAGATGTACTGATACTGAATAATATTTATACATCCAGTTAAATGAGTTTGTCTAAAAAATTCTGGACTGGTTATTGTACCTAGTTGCGCAATAGGACGGAACCCTGTCAACAGTAAACGAGACTTGTGTAATCAATGTTTTGACTTGTTTGCTACAGTGTCCCTTATGTGATGATTTTAGAGTAACTCTTTTGCATGTAATAAATGTTAAGCCACTGCCATTGACTACAAACGTGAAATACTGTTTTACTACCAGAACCTGCTTTTCAATACTATAGGTAGAAAACACATCTTATATGGATATATTGTCACTTATATATAATGTAGAAATGCCTGCTTGTATGTTTTTATTGTCTCACATAACTTAATATGAGTGACGCTGTATCATATTCTTACTGTATCAAGTCGTATGTCTGTATATATATTCTTCTAAAGATGTACATCAGTGACACGTAAATAAAATATATGTCTGCCTGTTACAGATGACGTCCCAGGGTTTGCCGATACAGTGGCCAGAAAGGAGCGAGGGAAATGACCGATCTGACCTGCCCCTCCCGCCAAACAACGTGGCCAGCCTGCGAGTCGCCCACGACGTTACCAGACGCAGCGTCCAGGCGGAAGATAGTGGTCAAGCATCACAGCTGGTAGCGTCATAAAGACTCATAGAACTGATAATCTGGGAATCAGGTTTCCATTTTGTTATGTCGTGTATTATGAAAAATGTAAACATTAATGGAAATAAAAGACTGTTTAAATCACCCGTAAATAAAATATCTGTCTGCCTGTTACAGATGACGTCCCATGGTCTGTCGATACAGTGTCCAGAAAGGAGTGAGGGAAATGACCGATCTGATCTGCCCCTCCCTGTTGTGCTGGATGCACCACCCGACCCGCCAAACACCGTGGCCAGCCTGCGAGAGGCAACTGCAGTCGCCCACGACGTTACCAGACGCAGCGTCCAGGCGGAAGATAGTGGTCAAGCATCACAGCTGGTAGCGTCATAAAGACTCATAGAACTGATAATCTGGGAATCAGGTTTCCATTTTGTTATGTCGTGTATTATGAAAAATGTAAACATTAATGGAAATAAAAGACTGTTTAAATCACCCGTAAATAAAATATCTGTCTGCCTGTTACAGATGACGTCCCATGGTCTGTCGATACAGTGTCCAGAAAGGAGTGAGGGAAATGACCGATCTGACCTGCCCCTCCCTGTTATGCTGGATGCACCACCCGACCCGCCAAACAACGTGGCCAGCCTGCGAGAGGCAACTGCTGTCGCCCACAACGTTACCAGACGCAGCGTCCAGGCGGAAGATAATTGTAAAGCGTCACAGCTGGTTGTGTCATGAAGACTCATCGAACTGATAATCTGTGAATCTTGATAATCTCTGAATCAGTTCAAAGGACTGCAAGAACGTTTGTGATACAAATTACATTTCTAATACTCCTTATTTCTATATATAATGCCTATCCAGAGAATATTTTCTATGTCCACACAGTGCAGATACTTATGTGACTGTTGATTTTGTCTTATATTTATGAATGTACTTGTTGAATGAATGAAGATCTGTCTACACTCCACTGATGTCTATCAAATGTTGTATATCTGTAGTTATTTGAACAATACATATGCATGTAGTAAGTCCCTGTCACCCAGTCCCTGTCACCCAGGAGTGGATCGAGCGTGGTAATCTGGTATAATGTATACATGTAGTAAGTCCCTGTCACCCAGCACAGGGGTGGACCGAGCGTGGTAATCTGGTATAATGTATACATGTAGTAAGTCCCTGTCACCCAGCACAGGAGTGGACCGAGCGTAAGCGCATGGTAAGTCCCCCCCAGCGTTTAAATGTTTTATATGTTCTAACGTATTTGTTAAAACATGTGTTTGTTTTACACATATTTTATTCACAAAAGATGAATGGGATTCTGTACAAGTTCACCAACTTAGGACACTTACTCCCAGATATTTACAACTGGACGACAACGTGTACTACACATGAACAGAACTACAGGAAGGAAATGAATAGGAATGTCACGACTTTGTACGTTATGGCTATAACATGGTTATAGCTGCATGTGTCGGGTACCTCAACATCTTTACAGTCAATACTCTAGAACTCGTGATAATTTAGGATGTTCACATGAAATATTTAGTTAATGCCAAAAGCTGATAAATCCTATCAGTACATTGAGTACCAAGTTCATAAACAAAACTATTTTGGGTCGATTTCCATAGAACAATTGGAAGTTTTGATTCTTTCAAAAACTTCTGCCTTTTCACATCCTCAGTCAATGAAATAGGTTTAATAGTATGGGGACGGGCATAACGTCGAATGCCTCAAATGTTGAGACTAAAAGCTTTTCGCATTTTGGTATCAACCAACCTTTCTTAACTAAATTTCTAATAGAGAACTGTCTATTTATATGAACCATTATTCCATGGGGTAATTGTAAATTTCAAAGTTTTATCACAAATGGAGCGTGATATGTTTGCTTTCACTACCTCTAGCCGACACAGAATGTTTTCTTTCTGCAATATTGACACCAAGTTTAGATTGGCCACAGCAGCTCTAGAAAATGTTTAATGAGTTGATAATAAAATTGATCATTAATAAATAATCCTGTGTAATCTGTTTTTTAAAGTAACAGAACTTTCAGGCATAACCTTGCAGACAATCCGTGTGTAGGCTCTGTTACAAACACCACTTCTCTCAGTTGATACCAGATAGGATTCCATATCATTCAAAAACATTGAAAAGAACATGGGTGATCATTTTCTCCCTCGCGGCCACCAGGGCGACATAGGGAGAGGTCGACTGTTTCATTGTAATTCTTTCCACACGACTCTATGTTACTGTACTTAGTTTTTACGAGTGTAAGAAAGTCGAGAGTGAACAAGTCAGCATGTAATGGTCCCAAAATATAAACAAAATCTGTCATTTTCAATGAGATTTATTTCCTTGTTGATTCATTGGGCTTCGGGGATTTATATGCTCCTCAAGTTCAACAAGGGTAAATCTTTATTAAGAGCAGTGATACAACATTCATGGAAATGCATAATATCATGAAGCAGTTCTGTATCTGTATCCTGTGATGCACTCAGTTCTTTTAAAAAACGAAACCGTAAAATGGTAAATCGTAAAGCGGCGTAAAACGATACTCACTCAGTGACTAAACTTGTCACATTTCATGAGATCTATCCGTGTGGAGCAGCGTTATAAATGGTTCTGTGAGACAAGCAGTGGTAACTTTCTGTCAGTGTAGGTGTACTCACAGATGTGTGAAATACGTCAGATACTGTTCAGAGCGTGAAATTCATTCACTGACTTGTTGTACTTTACAAGACTCACAGCATGCTACTGAAAAACTTTGCCAGAGACCGTCTCAGTCATGTTCAAGTCTTGGAGGTGTATAATCCAGTTTACACAGGTTGCATTCTGACATGCATATGGCGTCGTATGATGCGTGTTCAAACGCAGTTTCAACCAGAGCCTCGTTCCTGCTGCGGTTGTATCGAAGCTCTGTTGTCAAGTTTTGTAAGGGGGTGGTCCAGGCAACATTTGAAGGACGTTTTCTGCTTACAGTTTATCAACCAACATAAACACTCAGAGGTTCTAACAACTTGCTTCGCTTAACAAGGGCATTGAGGCCAAGTTTTGGGAGCAGCTCAATACAAGAAAATGGTCTGCCTTTGAGTTTTCGTCGGGAGCTTTTGACAGCGTCCCCGTTATGTATGAACATAAATTTCGCTATCAGGGGGCGTGGTTTCGGCCTCTTAGTGGCACGAGGGGGTCTTAGCGTCAGATACAAGGTCCGCGTCAAACTCATAAATAAACAAATGAGGGTGTCACTATTATAACCATATGAGACAGAGAATGTTCTAAAAACTTTCTCAGCAAGCGACCAAAGAAACTGTGGAATCTTCGACAAATGTACTCCTCGATAAACTTGACGATATTGGCTGGGCATGTGATCACTCACATGTTCAACATATTTTATGGATGATAAAACAGTATTTGAATTACTATATGCAGAATTGTAAGAAGAAATGGGAAATGAATTGGAAATCAAGCGTAGCAACTGTTGCGTGTCATGTATCTGTATAGGGTATATATGTTATATAAAACCATGGGAAATATTTCAAACATGATTGTACTTACAGTCACTGTGACCATACCAGGTGTTGTGTGAAATCCATGACTCTGTCCCACCATTTACATCTCCAGTCATTGAAAATTAAAATCCCACAGGAAATCCAACCTGTTCTCCACTAAAGCATTGATACCAGGAAAATAAAACTCCCAAACCCTTCAGTATGGCGGCGGATTAGGGTCATGACTATATCGCCCTGAAATATATATGGCAACAGAACGAGAAGGGCACATCGTAGTCCTTGATCCTATCAAATCTTTTGGGTTTAGTTTAAAGGCACCCATCAAATCCAAGCCATAGGTGAAAGATATATCATAACTCGAAGGCATCGACTACTGATCCCGGAGGGAAGTCTGACAAATCAACAGAGCGCTCGGCCTTCTGATTGGCTCAAATTGGAGCATGCGTCAGGTTTGATTGACAGATTGCATTGGTCTATTAGATTTGCGCATTCAGGCGCAGTGATGACCTAGCATTACTGCGACAAGCTAATTTGCATATCACGTGACCGGACTTTTTATTTTGTTTGTAAACAAACCCCCCCAAATAAGAAGAAACTAGCCGAATGCAAGTTTTCCAGTGAGCTCTTCATAATGTTTTACATGCTGACATAGATATTCTTCTACAACTGCGACAGTAAGGTTTATGTCAAAACACAGAGTTAAACATCAAAGTGGCTGCTTCGTTTTTTCTCCGAAGTGCTTCGATGACAGCACGCGGAGTCGTACAGCCAAATAAAACACGTTTTAAGATATTTTCTCAGTGAAACTATGAGGCTGTGGGGTAGCCTAGTGGTTAAAGCAATGAGTCGACACACCGGAGACCCGGGTTCGATCTCCCACATGGGTACAAAATGTGAATCCCCGCGGTGTCCTCCGCGGTGATATTGCTGAATGTTGCTAAATTAAAGGCTGTGTAAAACCATACTCACTCAGTGAAACTAAACCTTTGTATCAAAGATGTTTAGATGTGTACTTGACTCCTAGACTGTCAGTGGCAGTGGTTCTATGCTAGGCGCATGGAACTGTTGGTAGGAGAATGATGGATTTGTCTATTTGCATGGAAACTACTTTTGACCCATGACCTTGTGTTGGCTATAAATAAATCATGGACTTGTGAAGAGATAACCCCTTTCACTGACAATTGCATCATAATGTTTAAGGTCTTATGAATTAATCACAAACAAAAAATAAGGCAATACATATTTTAAATAGTTTATTTTCCAGACCTATTTACAATTGTTTCATTCTGTAATTGTTGCATACTTATGATGAGTATATCTATTGCTCGACGGAGAGCGGGAGCAATACACGAACTGTTATAGAAGTTTCGTAAAATCCGTACCACATATATGCAGGTCACATTCCGGCGCAGTGATGACTCAGCTATTACCGCTGCCGTAGATCACTGGATTGTCTGCTCCAGACTGGATTATGTACAGACCGCCGCCATACAGCTTGAATATTGCTGAGTGAAGTGTTTCACAATAAACAAACAATACCGCTGCCGTAGGAGAATGACATGCGGGTACAATGAGGGTTTAACTATTACGTTGTTCCTAAGATGTGACGCCATTCCCACTTGTCGTCACAAGAACTTTCCAACAAGATCATCAGTCCCGCCCAGAAGACTCAATCGTGTCGTCCAATACTTTTCTGATAACCTTGCATAACACAGAATACGTAAGGAATAAACTCCGAAGACTCGCCAATATTCGCGCGGCTGGCTGAGTCCGAGGCCGTTAGGCCGAGGACCCATCCAGCCACGCGAATATTGGCGAGTCTGAGGAGTTTATTGCGCTTAAACCTAAAATCATACATATTGGCGCCCTAGCTTCGTAACTCTTGCACCCGAACACAGCAATAGTAATATTGGCGTCCTACATCTGGGTAGCACGGTATGCACGATACACACGTTATGAACACACTCTACTGTGCACGTGGCAGCGTATTGGACGGATACAAAACAAGCGAAATATTTTACTGCATCCATTTTACCAGATGTTTTCAATCATGTCAGGCAAATGGGGTTCTTTATGCGATGTCTTTGGCACTCAAAATTTATACATTTTCCGAAACAATTGAATGGAAGTATTTCGAGTGTCAATTTTGATATCATTCTGCAAGGGGACAAAAATCATGTAGATACAGCTGGGAAAAGTTCTTCGGATGAAGAATTGCTGCGTGAGTCGTAAAACCTAGAACGGCAATTTGACCAAATGAATAGTTCAGTAGATGATGAACTGATGCTTGCTTCTCAGCAGATAGAAAAGGAAGCGAACAAACAACTACCAAACGTTTTAGGAAACCTCTCTCAGTTTCTGAATATAAATCTCGCAAAAAATTAAAAAAATTCAGAAAAGAAAAGCAGCGGGCAGTGTGGGTTTTCGATTCCTGGCAACGTGAAAGGGATGGGTTTGAATCCCAGTTAGGCAGCAGATTATTAAGTATTTCTAATAAAGATCTGAATAGGACGCTGAGTCTGTTTTTCAAAACACTAAGGAACCAAAGGAGTGAGTGAGTTTAGTTTTCCGCCGCACTCAGCAATATTCCAGCTATATGGCGGCGGTCTGTAAATAATCGAGTTTGGACCTGACAATCCAGTGATCAACAACATGAGCATCGATCTGCGCAATTGGGAACCGATGACACGTGTCAACCAAGTCAGCGAGCCTGGCCACCCGATCACGTTAGTTGCCTCTTACAACAAGCATGGGTTACTGAAGGCCAATATTCTAACCCGGACCTTCACGGGTAAGGAACCAAAATGGAGGTCAACAAGGGCAACATAGTTCACGAGATTCATATTTTGATGCAGAGATTCTTGCGCCAAAGTGGTCGAGATGTTAACCTAACCACCTACTTTGCTTTTAGGGGTTTAAGACTGACTGACTGAGTTTGGTTTTACGCCGCTTTTAGCAATATTCCAACAACATCACGTCGGGGGACACCAGAAATGGGCTTCACACATTGTACCCATGTGGGGATTCGAACCCGGGTCTTCGGCGTGACGAGCCACCGCTTTAACCACTAGGCTACCCCACCGCCCCCTTAGGGGTTAAGAACCATTTTAGACGCTAAAATGTAATCACTGGCACAGTCTGGTTTTGGCATGCGTAGAAGGCTAGACAAGCTAGCGTCATCACACCACAGGAGGAGGGTGCATTGTGGGAGTCGGGTTTGCTTGGGGTTGACACCCCGGAATAATTGCTTGAAACCGCTTTTTATTTGAATGGGCCGTTGTTCATATAGACTTGACCAAAAGAACATGTCATTGAGGTGAGTGAATAATATGGTGAGTACTTAAAATCTTAAAATTTAAAAAAAAAATGAAATTCATATCTTTTTAAAAAATAGATGTTTAAAAAAAACCATGACGACGGCTACAGTGCAGCCTGTATGCAATGTATGTACAACTTGACTGCACGCCAGTGGGTTGTGATGACTGGGGAATCGAACCCGCACCGCAGGCACTTTAACCACTAGGCTACCTCACCGCCCATAGACGTAATTAATAAGTGAGGTAGCCTAGTGGTTAAAGTGCCTGCAGCGCGGGTTCGATTCCCTGCAAAGGCACAATGTGTAAAGCCCATGCGTCGTGTCCCCCACTGTTATACTGCTGCAATTCAAGTGCTAAAACTGTACACTTCGTTGTGGAACGTAATGGTGCTAAAGTGTTTCTGTATTTCAGTAATGGGGGTATTACTGTTTGGATTCAGCGTAAGGACCGGGGTGCCGTTGTACAAAACGATCTTAGCGCTAAGGTGACCATAACTCCCATACCTTAAAATGGACTTAAGGTTGCCTTAGCGCTAAGGTTGTTTTGTACAACGGCACCCTGGTTAGTAATAGGGCACCAGTATTTGAAAGTAGGGCGCCAATACACGCGATAAAGTCGCCAATACACGAAGCTAGGTCGCCAATAAACGAAAGATACGGGCTTCCCATTCCATCCTTATTGGAGGGATATGTTGTGTAATGGAGGCAATTTTAGGTTTAAAGCTAGTTATACATCGCTACGAACATATCTGACAGAAATGTTTACTCAATCTTGTTTCTTTGCCGCACATTTCATGGCAAAATGAGTATTTGTTACTTACAACCGGTAAACATGTTAAGACCAGCACATAATTGATATTTTGCTCGCTTGTTGGAAGACTGGGCATGTTATCTTGGTTGCGGAACTCTATTCTATTATCTCACATTACCTTGACATGAATGTAAACCTATGTATGTATGCATGCACAGACCTAAATCAAATAATAATTTGTTTGAATAAAGCAATATATTATTTTAATTGATTCACCCGCATACGGGTTTACCGCTCAGCACTCTAGGCCGCCTTGCATTGTACGTGCGGTAGACTCCATTAATCGCTTTCCATAACCACGCACATTCATGGACCAGTTCCCGCTCCACCATATATCGATCTGTTTCCGTACATAAGCGCATGTAACAAGTTTCTGGTGACCAGCTTGCACGATCGCCAGTTTCATACCGACGGCCGAAGGCGAAAGTAGCTTCATACGTGCGATGTACCTGCTTGCATACATTTGAAGAAACTTCCGTTGTTTAAAGGTAATCTCATTTCAATACATTGTTTAGTTGTACTGTTAAATTACATAACTGCATGTTAGAATTAGATTTTAGATGATTTGACTAACCTGTTATTAAATTACTGATGTGGTATACAAGCATTCTAGTTAAACTGACGGAGGATTAAAGGATAGATGGAAGAACGGACGGTCGTGTGTTTAGACACTGGATTAAGTGGGTTTGTGGAGAGATAGGTTACCCGACATAAAATAGGAGGTGTTATGTCTATCATAATATTCAGATTTGATAAGTGATATGCATTAATGTCGTCTAATAAATTGTGTTGCAGTTCAAACATGAGTCTCAGTGGTTGGTGTCTTTCATTACTAGCTACTGTTCATTATGATATTCATATTTTATCAAACCGTTTTGTGATAAAGATTCATTAAGCTTAAACACATGTGACTATAATTTAATGGCAAAGGCTGCAGCTAAATCTGCCAGCAGGGTTTAAGGACTACTTACGTCTAAGTTTAAGACAATACGAGGTATATATTTTTACACTTATTCTTATTCTTATGCCACACTGTCACCCCCTGGAACCACTGCAAAATTTAGATGTGGAATTGTACGTTTAAGAATAGAAGCGGGCAGATATATAAATTTAAATACTGAAGACAGAGTCTTTTTAAATTGTAATGAGTTTACTGAAGACGAAGAGCATATTTCATCACAGTGTCCCCTATTTAATGATTTTAGAATGGCTCTTTTAACATATGTTAGGCTGAAGAGTCTTAATTTTAT